AGTTTCGTAGTTCGTTTGCGTACGGACTTGGATAATTCTGTACGAGATTCCAATGATTCTCACTGATTATTTACATATGCACCTTTTACTTGTCACAACACACATATGCGGACAAGGGACCAATTGAGAACACGCCGTAACACACGTAAGTGGGCGTTAAGACCACAACTCACATATATGGGTCAGAGAGGTCGAGAAGATGTGTGCGATATATGACAACGTTTACTATTACACCGATGACCATGACTTCGCAATGGCCGTGTAGACGGACGTCAACGGTAGTGGTGACTGTTAAATGCGGTGATGATAAGGGTGGCGATGATGGACATGGATCCCGAACCGGCATCGACGTTGGACGGTGGCGGTAGTTGTAATGGACAACAATCGGCATAATCGAAACAATACTGCGGTGACGATGGTCGTTGGTGGTACGAACACGTGACGGCGGTAGTAGTGAACGGTGGTCGGCAACAGCGACGGCCACGACTTGGCTGGACAACAGCACTTGAACGGTGGCTTTAGTATTCAACTCTTCTGTATGATCAGTAAATATATAAAAACGTGTTGGAATTAATGTCTATTAATTTGCTCAGCAAATTTTATGCGCATTTGCGTTTGCTTTACTGTGGCAGTGTGAACTCTTTATTTTGATATTCGTATTCTTCTGTTTAGTCAGTGTCGACCAAACTGAGAACTCGGCGGTCGCATTATACTCCGTTAACACTTTTTAGTTTGGTGTTTAGCATTTAAAAAATTATGGTGCCCCGTATTTACATAAGGCACTATGAAAATAACTTAAGAGAAAAGTTATGAGCTATCGACAAAACCACTTAAAATTTTAATAATATAATATATATCATTATATAATCGTTTTGGTTTCAAAAAAAAAAAAAATTAAGTTCAAGCGCTTGTCAACTTATTTTCTTCTGTTAAACTTTTCTATTTTTTTTTTTCAGCGAGTTTATAGCTGACAATTTTGGAATTACAGATGATGTCACCTAAAATTTAAAAATCTTATTTAAATTTTTAAATAAAATAATAAGACCAGGGCTTTTTATTATGACAGAATTTTTTATCTTATTTAATATACAGATTAAAAACCTTGCCTCGTGTAGAACAAAATATCTGATGTATAGCGTTCTATCATTCATTAATAATTGAACTATTGAATAATAATATCTATAATAATATACATTGTGATTTATTTTCGTATTTTACGCTGATGTGACCAACGAAATAAATTTCAATTTTTCTTTATAACCTAAAATTTTTTAATAAGCCTTTAATCTATTATGTCTCCAGTATATAATAAAGTAGTTAATTATTAATACCTTTATAGACTGTAATTTACCACTAGTAGTTTGGCTGCATTCATTTACCGATAAAAAAACATAATTTATATGCCTTGTACTAAAAATTTATTTTTATCTCTAGACATTAGTAAACCGTATTATTCCGCGCGATTTGTTAGAAAAATGCTAATATCATTTAAAATACTAGTCTGAAAATTGTTATGGACCATTATGATGAATCATTTTCCTGGATAGATCTGTAATAATCAAAAATACCTTAAATGTATCGTTAATGAGAAGAAGGCAGAATAGGAGAGCGAGTTGGGATAGTTGTAATAAATAATGGTTAAGTGTAGTAGGGTGGGATAGACAAAGATAAAATATTAAGAAAGTTGGTAGAGTTGTTTATTATAAGGTATATCGGAGTTTGATGTGCATAGTAAAATCAAGCCTTCATAAATTAAATAACTCATTTAAAGAATAAAACATGCAAATAAATATTCACACTTGCCTTTGTTTCCTTTTGTAATTATTTGATCTTGTATTAACTTCCCAGTTCAGTAGTGACAATTGTTCTTTTTTCTATTTGGCTATTATTTCGATTAATTAGATTTATGTGCATATTAGATCTTAATCGTCAATACACGCTTTTATTACCTCAACAATATACGTTGTTCATAAAATACGTACTTAAAAAGATTCTTTGCGATGGGATCTGCGTCTATTATGATTGCTGATTTTATTACTTTTAAAACTCTTTTCATATTACACTAGGCTTTTAGAAATAACATTTTCGATAAATTTTGTATAGTCGATAGCGATATTTTTAAAAACTCACTCTGAACTCGTCAAAATAAAATTGTAAGAATATGTCTATTTCTATTCAAAATATAATCAACAAAATAGTAATGACACATAGTTTTTCAGTGGAAAACCTTGGCTGGTCCGGAAAGTCATCTAAAAATTAAGTTCACCAATTAGGGTAATATGAGGAAAAAACTAAGTTTTAGGGACAAAATATTTACTTAATCTAACGCAGATTCCATGTTAGAGAATATTGATTGAGCACTTTTAGGAAAAAAATGGCCATTTTATATCCTAGAGAAATTATACCATCGAACTCTATTTCTGAGATGCTGGATAATTATTTGTGATTGGATATTTGTGAAAGAAACATTGGTTTAATGAAGATTTGTATGTGACTGATTTGAAATATTTATTAATAAATTACATATTGAATACCCTAAAAGGAAATATTTCTTAGACGACTTTTGCTTTATTCATATATGTATTTTAATAACTATACTACATATCATTTTATAGTTAATAAATGATCAGTTCTATTCCGAACTTAACATGCTACAGAGGGCGAAGGCCTTCTTTTCCACGTTAGGAAGTTAAAGATGGTTCTTGGCTAAGCCAATGATGAACGGAACAAGTATTATGATCGGTTTATACCAAAGACCAAACATCACCAATGCGAAAATCACATGAAAAATCTCAGTACCTTGGGGTTCAAATCTGGAACCCCGTGCGCAAAAACATACATTTCTTAATAAGTGGGCCATTTTCTTAATTTGAGGATAAATTTTTTAAAGGATCGTAAAAAAAACTAATAAATTTTTACTTTAGATCAACTCTACCCAACCAAGGCCTAGTAAATTCAGTCCGGATGAACTGAATCTAAGATGGTTACTAAACTTAGTACACGTACGGCAATGCATTGAACTGTTATTACTAAAAATATTAGAGCAGAGTCATTGTGATTGCTTCCATTTATATTGAATATTTAAAACATTGACACCCAAAAAGTTAAATTATATATTGTTAGCTATTGAATTTGATTATTCTATTACACATATCAACGGTTTTACCAGGTATTTTTTACCTAAAATAACAAAATAATCAAAGTTTATTAAATTTAGTTATTTTGCAATTTAATATCCTAATATTCATTTATTAAGAGTCAAAAAAAGAGTTTGCCAATTAGGAATAATTTCTTTCCTCACAGAATAATCATTTTTAATATGTAAGATAATTACAATAAAATTGAATTAAAAATTATTAGATTAATTATTCACATTCAATAAAATAATCTATAAAGCTTATTTATAATAAAATAGTTATAAAATGTATTCCTTTAGAACTACGATGAATTTTTATCCTAAATCAAATTTTTTTTTTGTCATTTTTGCAATACTAATTAATAAAGGTATTTTACAACCAATCAAAAAAAAAAAGTTCAAATCATAAAAAATTTTGTTTATAAACTTCAATAGTATACTTACAGAGTGAAATATAATATAGAAATATGAAAAAAAAAATTATAATTTATCTATTTGGGGCCTGTTCATAATGAAATACGCAATAATATTTTTTTTGCTGATTATTTTAAATTATTTATTAGAGTCTCCAATTTTTGAAAATCATGATTGATTGGCTTGCGATAAAGATATTGGCTTAACAAACAATATTCTAAAATATCAAAAAATTACATTTTCCGTTTTAATAATCCTACTGCAACAACTTATATTATCCATAATCACTTCGATTAATTTGTCACCTCAATTATTGATCTTCGTTTTCGTTTCTCTATTTTAAATTTTCACTCACTTATCGAGAAAATATGTTGTAAAGGTTTTAAAATCTTAGGATTTATCAAAAGAATAGCTAATGAATTCCGTCTTATGAAACCATTGAAGAGTCTTTATTGCTCATTATTTAGGCTGATACATGAGTATGAATTTGTTTTATGGGACTCTTTTACCGATACGGACTCTATAATGCTTAAAAGAGTATAGCTAAAGTAAAGTAAAATAAAGACTATAATATATAGTATTTCTTCACTTTTCTTCATTTATCCTCAAAATTCCACATCTACCTCAAAACTTTACTTAATTCAAGATACTATGAAATCATTCTTTTTTAGCTAATCAATGACACAAAGCATACATTCGTTTCTATTTTAAAATTATATCTGGTGAAATAGATTCCCTTATTTTACTCTATCAATTTACCATGTTCCTGCTCGACTGTTCATACTTATTAAGATATGTATAGTAATAATAACGTTATAACAAAGCAATTTGTGTTTATCCAAGTTTAAAAAAATAGAGCCCCTTAACCAATGAACCCTTTGATCAATAGGGCGCAATCTAATATTTTCCGGTATGAAAACAATCCACTTATACGCCAATTATCATAATTATTCAATTTTTTTCATAATTACAAAATAATGCAATTTTTCATTTCAAACTGATAACGTATAAAATTATATTGCAATTAGGAAAATCATATAATATATAATAATTTGTATATTGTATTTAAATCTTATAACATGACCACAATAACATACAAAAATTTCACTACAATCATAACATTATAATTACAACAGATAATAAACTAACATTCATTATCAAATATTTACAACTAAAACTGCATGTAAGAGATAAATTAAAAATATATGCATCATGTTTTTACTTCAATTAAAATTTATAATTTTAGAACTACATTATTTTTAAGTGAATTATAAGTTCATTAAATAACTGGTTGTAGAAATTTACACACGCATTGTTGATCAGCAATATATACGATATAGTAAATTCATTTATTTGAGAAGTATAAATTAATATAAATAAATATCTAAATAACTATTAACGTTTATTTCACAAATTTAATATGAAAATTTTTGTAATGAAAATAATGGTTTTTAAAATATTAATACTGTTAGATACAGTATTGAGCTTGGAAAGAACACCGCTTATGCCATATTTGCCTGCTGTAAGTCCTAAAAACTAAATTCATTTTGAAATGTTTATTTAACTAAACAGAATTAAAATTAAAATTATTTGTTATGATTAAATTATTTAAAATAGCTGAATCTTCTTCTTTTTTTACCTCGCCTTTATTCCTACTGCTTGGGGTCAGCCACACTTATCCTAAACTTCCACTTGACACGATCTACCACATCATCTATACACACATCAGCCGTCCTCATATCGCACTTAATAACATCACTCAATCTTTTTTTTTTTGGTCTTCCTCTATCTCTTCTTTCTTCAACATTAATTTCCATAACTGTTCCTACAGCTTCCGATTCCTCTCTCCTTATCTTATCACGATTTATCACGTATAAATGAGGCTGTCGCCCTAACGCAACCTCATTCGTCGTTTCTTACGATTGGCAGATGAGCCGTGGAAGTATTTAAAGTAGTTGAAAATAAATAAATATTTTTAACCGTAGTACGCATAACCACAATAATTTAGTTTTATTATTTAGCTTTGTTATATTCATGTGTATAAATTTAAGAGTTAATTTTTAATTTTTTAAATTAAATTAAATTAATTTAATTAAAATTTTTGTATGAAATGCCGTTATTGTTGAATAAATTGTTTACAAAAGGTTGGAAACAATTTCAAAACCAGTTCTTAACTTTTTTTTTTTCAATAATTTGATTTCACAGAAATTAAGGGGTACCGACCTTTTTTCAGGGGTCGAATATAAGCAATTTTGCGGTTTTTACATGTTACGCAGTGTCGTTGTGTGAGAAGTAAATGATTATTAGTGTGAGTGTTCATTATTGGGAGTATTTTCCTCGTTATAGTCGATAACAAAACCGGTTGTTGACACGGTACCGTACATTTTGCGATACGTTTAATACACGGTCACCTCAACTCTTCCATCAGCCGCCTAATAACATAGCGAGCCCAGCCTGATTAGAGTACATCGCTATCTAGTTAGGATGCAAAGTCTATCTACTGGAGTGCCCAACCCAACCCAACCGAGCGCCGGCGGTGAACGCTTTATCTTGTTTTTGACGTTCTAAGTGAATTTTCTCCATTCTTCGTCGTCACGCGTTGTACATTAAAAAGAGGTTACTTTCATATATCTAAATTAAAACCTTAAGTTGTATTATCTCTTTCATTTTAAATCGTAATATATATATATATATATTGGTTTATTTAAATTTCTTTTTTTTTTCATATATATATATATTTTTATCTGGTTTTCTTTTGCTCTCGGCCAGTGCCATTGTAGCGATACTTTAGACATTGTGGTGCGTATTTGTGTCACATATATCATTTTTAAGAAACAAACTTTTATTGACACTCGAATTTACCGTGTCATTGTGTACCTGCTTTATCTTTTGATGCAATACGATTATAATGATAACGACGCACGTTTATTTTATGTAATATAAAAAACATAGTTTAGCACCAGCTCTCACCGTGAATACTTATAGACACGCCATGATTTCACGAATATTAATTCATATTATAAAAAATTATTTATTTTCGACGAGTAAGAAAAACTAAATATTTACAGGAAACACGTTAAATCATATGAGATCCATATAGATTATTTTGAAGTTATAAAATTATTAAAAATCTAATTGGAATTATAAGAATTCAATTTACAAAATAACATTATTTAGACAGTATAATATTTAAGTTCTTATAGGAAGTCCTTTGTCAAAACGAAAACCATCTCTGATAATACACAATCCATGAAGAACTTTTCTAAAAGTGGCCACATTTTATTCTACACTTCATTGTTTTTTTCATCAATTTTATCAATTACCATACTTAAAAGTATACTATATTAATAAATGTTTGAGGTAGTACATGCTTTTAGTAACTGCTTTTTATATAATGATTTTTTACTTTATTTTAAATTTACATTGTTCTGTTATAGTTACACAATAAACAACATAAAGTTCAAAACATAAATACCTTACGGAGTCCATACAGCAAAGTAACAATAACTACCTCTATACTTGATTATGATAATCATGTGATTTTTTTACTTTAAATTTACCGTCGTCAAAGGTCATAAAATGAAATATTTTTTTTCGAAAGTTTCTTCTAGTATGAAATCTTTTATTAAAGCTGGACATTTTATTTCAACAATTGAGTCGTCATTAATTAAACCATCAGGGCTAGCTGCTAATATTTGCAAAGTTTTATGAACAATTAAACCACATGCTTTAATATTCACACCAAGCCTGGGCTATAAAACTTCTTTTGCCAATGGTTCACTTTGAATACCATACCTTAGCAATTTAAAAATCATAATTCACAAAAAAAAAAAATTAATATAAAATTGTTCAAAATGTAAATTAACCTAGTAGCAGTATTGCCTTGGAAAAAGTCATATAAAATAAACTTCACAGTGTTTGCTCGCAATGTAGTAGCTCGAAGTTTGACAACTTTACCGAAATTCTAAGCACCCCGTATTATATTAAATATAGGTTATATCTCATCATCACTCAATTCTGACCAGCTCTTTTTAAAATGTTTTACTTTTTTTTATTGGATGTAATTTAAAATTCATTTTATAATTAATGTAAGAGATTTATATATTTGATGATCAAGCAATTTATATATGTGCACATTTCAAATATGTTGAAATAAAAAGCTCATCACATAAGTTACTTAGTGTTAGATCTAAGTTAATAACATAGTGTGCGACTGAGGAAAACACGTTATTGTGTCAGATTCAAAGGGAAATTATTAAAATATATTGCTGAATACATTAACAAGATATATTTTTTGATCTTTTGGCGTATCGTTGAACAATAACAGTCAAATAGGTACAGATATGGATAGACACAAACATAAAACCTTTTCAGTTTTCTATCGAAGCTCAGAATGTGAATGAAAATTATTTATATATATATGTACCTCACCAGATTTTTTTTTGATAGCGATATTTTTTTATGACTCCCCATTTACTTAGCGACACTCATATAGGAATACAACAACAAAATTTGTTTCATACTAAGCAATAATAGGTTTTTCGATGATTAGATAAAAGCAAATAATCAAATATCATATATACAGGTGTAATATCAAGTATACATTTGTAACTACATTTAGGTAGTCGGTATTGCCCTATGAAACTCTATGGGGAATAAAATAGCTGCTGCGGATAACGCACATACGCCCACAAGCATGTCAGATATATTAGCTACTGTTTGAAAACCATTTCGGTATCGGTCAGGCCACTTTTTTGAAATTGCGATTCCTTCAACGCAAAAATTTATTTAAAAAAAATTTTAATTATTCAAAAATGTAAACAGTACTAAAGAGTTAAATTTCAAAAAATTAAAATGGCCTGACCGATACCTAAGTGACATGATGCTGTATTTTAGATTTGCTTTCAGAATTCTTATCGCATCAGTAGTTTCGTCATACTGATGGAACAAAAACAGATTGTTTTTTACTAAAAAGCGGTCGGTACCCAGACGCCTTAACATTGAATATTTTTAAATCTGTTTATCCATGAATTAATTAACTAAATTTTCAGGGGAAGTACAAATTAAAATTCAAAGCATTTTCTATTTGTAATGAAACCATTGATTATCCAATGATATTCAAATACTATTTGTCAAAAGTTTCTACGTCAAAAGTCCAATTAATGGGAAACATCACATTGAAGATTCCATTTGATGACAAATTAATTGTATCTTAAATTATTAAATATTATTAATAATCATATTAATTATTTCTGTTTTTAAAGTTTGATATGAACACAGCTGTATGGTCGAAAATTGGAGGCTGGAAGGATAATGCAAATGTATACCAAAATAAAGGAGCGTGTTCATCACTAAAATTTTTTATGGGAAAAGTGTGGAACGAATACATTCAGAAGCATCATTTTACAGATTGTCCAATTCAACCGGTTTGTTTGATGCTATAGAATTTTTTTTTCTATATATATACATTTCAATAATGTAATAAAATTCGATTTTGCAACAATTAATTTCAAAATATTTCAGGGTTTTTATAAAAGCAGTGGTTTTGACTTATCACTTTTGGATCAAGCCAATCTTCCAAAGGAATTTTTCTACGGCACTTACAAGCAAAAAATATTTTTCTCAAACGAAAAGAATGATCAACTTGGTTGTTTTTTTGTCATATTCGATTTATTACGTCCTTGGGAGTAAAACCTATTCTGTTATTATTATTAGTTTAATTTATTTATTTTGTTTCTTTTTTATGCAATAATAACTAAAAAAGTTACTATTTTTTTTTTTATATTATAAACTTTGTGAAACCTTAGAAATTTTTGGCTAAAAAACATAGTTAGTTTTCATTGTATCATATTTCATATGTTGAAAGTTAACAAATTGTACATTTAAATAGCTAAGTTAAATTTAAAAAAATATTTTTTTATCCTTTTAGTTCTTAGTTATTCTTTTAACAAAAAAATTCCTTATAATAGACTTTATATTTGTTAGTGTTGAGAAAATGCATAGATTATTAAAAGATAGATATAAAAGATAGATTTGATTTTCAACTTTTAAAACTCAATTGGATGAAAAATATTAGTGATAACAAAAATTGTTTTATTTGTTTTGTAGACTAAAATTGTTTTATACATTTTGGCACTTCTTTAAAGATACAGTTGTTAATAATAATAATAAAAAAAATCAAATAGAAATAATTTTTTTCTTCGAATTTCCTAATTTACAATGAACAATATTAAACCTTTGTGCAATTATAATGGTTTAGTTCAAACTTTAAAAATCTTTCCTATATTACTTTGAATACAGAGTTACTGTTGTATTGTTAAATTTCATTTTAACCTATAGTTTTTAATAAATTTGTTATACATTCATAATTGCATTTAACTAATTAGTAATAATATCAATAGTTTGCCGTGATAAAAAAAATTGTAGATTTTAAATCAGAGCGGAAAATGGTACAAGAAAAGTATATTTTTGACTCTGATGAAAATTCCTCGTTTACCATTTATTCATAATTTACAACAAATTAGTTTCTAAAAATTTTTGTATCATGATCTTCAAATTTTATACAACTAGCCATAAAAGTAATGAAATATACAACTATTTTATTTATTTTTACAGTTGTAATAAATACTTTACTAAATTATTAAATATCAAATTCATACTATATTTAATTGCTATAATAAATATTTATTCATATATTACACTCATAAATCATCAAACTTGTAATCAGGATTTAAATAACGAAATAGAAGTTTATTTTGCTTTTGGAATAATCCACTAAATTATTAAAATGAAACACTATCTACAGATTTGCATCGAAGCGTTTTTTATGATAGCGAATATAATCACTGTCAGATTATATCTATACAAGACCCAACTATACTACGTCCCTTCTGTGTCATGATTTCACTGTGCTGGGTTTTTTTTAAAAATTAGGTTTCATTATATTCCTCATCTTGAGAATTTTAAATTTATATTATATTTACATGAATTAGATAAAGGAAGACCAAAAAAAGAAATGGAGGGATGCTATTAAATGTGATATGAGGACAGCTGATGTGAGCGTAGATGATGTGGGAGATCGTGTCAAGTGGAAGTTTAGGATAAGGTTGACCGACCCCAAGTAATTGTGATTAAGGTGAGGAAAAAGAAGAAGGTGGAGAAGATTATATTTACATGAATTAGGTCGATTCTATTTATGACTGAGTTATGGAAAATAGATTAGGCACGAGAACCGATCTTTCCGAGCTAAACACTCCGTTTATTAAAAATAAGAAGTCTGAGGTAATAATTATTTTGACAATACAATCCATATTTAATATGTTCTATTAGTACTAGTTTTATAAATGAAGATGGTTAATACTCTTGGTATACGTTGAGCAATACAATGAACTGCTGTAATAAAAAAATTAAAGCTGAGTCATTGTGATTGCTTACGTTCGCATTGAATATTTAAATCTTTGTGATTCAAAAAATTAAATTATATATTGTTAGCTATTGAAATTTATTGTTCTATTCCATAGAAAATAATGTAAATTATGGTTTTAAAATCTGATTTCGGAAAAAGTAGCTACATTTAAAATGACATTTGTACAATAACCGATACCCTGTCCACCCCAATCATCACTAATTTGATAAATAATATGATAGAGTATTCCCATCATATTATTTGTTTTTTTATTATTTGGGGTGGTTTTCTCTTCGTTATTTTGTTAATCTCTTTAACACTCTGCCCCTATAATTAAATTCCTCTTTTTGTAAATTATTTTTAAAAAATGTTTAATATACAATGTGTACGTAAGTACAATCAAATGGTATATTTAATGTGACGTTTCAAAAGTGCTTTAATTGTAGTAATTTTAGACAAATAGTATTTAAATTTCATTGGGTAATCGATGAATTCATTACAAATGGAAATGACTTTGAATTTTAATGTATATGTTCCCTAAAAAAAATATGACTACAATAATATATTGTCATTTGAGTTGTAAGCAACGCAACTTCTTGTTATAGATAAATAATTAATGTGATTTTCTAGATACATATAAATTGACACAGGCTTCTTTGTACACGATTTCCCGTGACCCGCGCCACTTTTATCGGCCGTCGCCCTACTACGAATATTTGACTGACCAACCCCACGTGCCATACACCACTGTGAAAAGTCTAATAAGTGCCGAACGACTATCTACCGCGAATGATACGTCGAGTCTTCTTCCCGTTGTCGATGTGACAGCGTCGAGGATGTACGCCACCGGCTCCGGACGTGCCACACGATCCGACTCGACGAACCGATCCGCACCCGCGCACCGTCGCCATCAACGCTGTTAACCTCTTGACGCCCGAGAAACCGTATCGCATCGTCAACTCCAGCGAAAGTGCAGCGATATTATGCGAAGATTATTATTAACTTTGTTCTTCTTTTCGATTTGTTTCTTTTTAAACAACCTGTTGTTGCTTATTAATAAACGGCCCACGGGTCTCTACACTCAAAGTCAGTGTCGACTACATTATTGCGACGCAAGTGGTGTCAAAATTGATGTATTAATGAAATAATTTTATTTTCATATGACAACATTCATAGCTAACTACATTATTCAATAGAATATGATTTAACCAAGAATTTGACTGGTCGATAATAACTTTTGAGACGCAAGTGTTGTTATTTTTGTCATTAGTCGTTCTTCTTCCAGTCTAGATACAAAAATATGAAATGATAAAAAAAATGAAATGATTTTACAATGCCTAAATTTTAAAAATTGAGTTTGTGTATTTCATTACACATCAAAATTACTCTCAACATAAATTCTAATACAAATAGTAATTACCTATATTTCATTGAATAGTGAATAGTCAGTAGAAACGTGTGGAAGTTAAATTTTTTTTGATTAATTTATAATATATAACATTAGTAAATCAATTTAGAAATTCGGAAGGAGGACGAATAAAGTTTAGTGAATAATTTTGTAGTGTTAACAGTGCAGTGTCATATAATTCTCTTTATTAAAGAGAATGAAATTTTTTCATAATAACAGCATAGTGTTGGTTTTCATTCTAAACAGATGTCGTACAAAATTATTTTTTTAGTTGTGTAAAATTATATATTGTATAATACATTATTATAATGGAATCTAGTCTTATCTATTGTGTAGTATTTTTTCAAACGGAAGAAGCAAATTATTTTGACTTTTTATATTCATAGAAAAAAAGATTACACCATTTTATAAATCAATTCTACAAAAATACGCAATTCATTTATGTTACTTTTTATGAAGTAGATAAAATATTTGCATTAAAACCACCTTATAAAATTATAAAATACCTAATAAACTAATTTAAAGATTAGTTTTCTGGAGTTTCAAAATGTTTTATCTTCATAAAAAGAAAGTTTTTGTTAATATATATTTTTTAATATCCTATACACTGAGCTTAGAAAGAACATCTTTGATGCCGAATCTGCCTGCTGTAAGTCTCAGTTTAATTTTTTTTTTCTTTAAATTAAAGAGATCATTTCTAATGCATCATTATCATTATTCATATCATTTTGTATTCAGGTTGGTTTGGAAAATATTCAGTTTCAAATTATAAACTTCAAATTTTTAAAATGGCTTAATAACAAAAATTATTTTTCATATTTTTATCTTATTTTGATAATAAGCATGACATAAGAGTCGTTTTAAAACGGTTCTATTTTATAAATATAAATGAATAAATACCAATAAATATTAAAATAATAGTAATCAGCGAACTTTATGTACAAAATATTTATATATTCGTATAATCAATAGTTTTTTTATTCATGAGGGACGAAAATATATTTTTCTAAGTCAACTTTTGGTGCATATTCCAAAACTATATTTAGACTTATTCTATAATCTTTAGTTTTTATGATAAATACTAATAAAAAACGAGTATTTATATATGAAAAGGTTTTTTTTTTTAAATTAATTTTGATTTGTGAATAACATTTTGTAAATATTTGTTAATAATAATCTATGCAAAATTTCAATCCTAAATGTTATAACTATTTGAAATTAACATCATTAAATAGAAAATTTTATGAGTTTTAAATAGTAATATTGATCAAATGAGTATGTGGTATTAATGTGTTACTATTAATAGTAAATCTATATTAGAAAATATCATTATGTTGTTATAATCACTATTCTTGCATTAATATTGTAATAAATTATTTTAATAGAAATATTAGTAATGAATTGTATATAACTTATGGTAATTAGAAAGATGGTGTAATTGAAGACATCGGATCTTAATTGTTTCTTAAATTATTCAAAAATAATTACAAATTATAGGTTAAAATGAAATCTAATAATATTAACAAAATTGTACTATGTTCATTTTATGTAGTTATTGGTACTTAGAAAGGTAGTGCAAATGAAATTTTTTAGATTTTAATTATTTTTTTATTAAACACAAATATTAAAAAAATTAGACACAGTGGGGAAAGTATAGATGAAATCTGATAGTGGTTATAAACATTATTATAAATAGGCATATATAGTGCTTAATTTTTTAGAAGGAATTATTGGACTATTCCACAAACAACATGAACTCCTATTTTTATTTATATCATAATTACAAGTTTTATGACTTATAAGTATAACACATGGATAAAAAATTATTATAGTATTCAAACTTAATGTATAATTGATATTAAATAATTAAGTGTTGTAATTTTTATGGAGAAATTATAAAAAATTAATAGGTTAATTTATACAAGGTATTTGTTTTAATATTAGCCACTCGATTACTTTTAAAATAAAAATTATATTAAAAATATTCTTTTTGATATTTTTTAATTTTAAAAATTCAACATAGATTTTTAATTTTATGTATTCATTTTTATATAAACTCAAATGATAAAATCGAGAGACACACGAACTTTGCAATAGACGAACCAAAATTGTTTACTGATTGTATAGTATTGATTAATTATATTGATTGATAGTAATTGATGATTACTGTAAATTTTACAAAAGTTAACATGATATAAAATAAATTAAATTACAATAAATCTCTTTAATGATATATTAACAAAAAAAATTTTCAGGGTAAATACAAATTAAAATTCAAAGCCATTTCTATTTGTAATGAAACCATTGATTACCCAATTAAATTCAAATACTATTTGTCAAAAGTGTCTACGTCAAAAGTCCTTTTAATGGGAAACATTTCAATGAAGATTCCATTGGATGACAATATAAATGTGTGATATTTTATTATATAATCAAACATTGAAAAATTATTTAACTAAGTTAGATTTAAATTTTTTTTCCTTAGTGAATTAGCTGGAGGCTTTATTCTGAAAAAGATAATCGCGGAGATAAGAGTTTTGTCAGAAATGCTTCTTGCCGCCAGTGTTTCACAATTTAAAACCTAATTTTATTATGTTGTTTAAATCTTTATTAATTAAATATTAATTATTTCTGTTTTTAAAGATTGGCATGAACTTAGCTGTTTGGTCGAAAATTGGAGGCTGGAAAGATAATGCAAATGTTTACCAAAATAAAGGAGCGTGTTCATCACTAAAATTTTTTATGGGAAAAGTATGGAACGAATACATTGAAAAGCATCATTTTACAGATTGTCCAATTCAACCGGTTTGTTTGATGCTATAGAATTTTTTTTTCTATACATATACATTTCAATAATGTAATAAAATTTGATTTTGCAACAATTAATTTCAAAATATGTTTAGGGTTTTTATAAAATTAATGGTTTTGACTTATCATATTTGGAACAAGCCAATCTTCCTAAAGAGTTCTTTTACGGCATATATAAAGAAAAAATATTTTTTTCTAATCAAAAGAATGATCAAGTTGGTTGTTATTTTATAGTATTTGATTTATTACGTCCTTGGGAGTAAAACCTATTATGTTATTATTATTAGTTTAATTATATATATTTTTTTTTTTACTTTTTTTTGTAGCTATAATTAATATATTTAAAAAAGAACAAATATAATAAAATTTTAGAATAGTTTTGTAAAAATTTGTTTGTTATTTTGTCATTATGTCATATTTCCTATTAAACCAAATTTTTATTAAAATTAATAATTTAGCTTTTTTTTTTTTGTCAATTAAATCATAAAGTGAAATTAACAATTCATAAATAATGAATAGACTCATAAAATTTAATCAAATTTCAACTTGTAAATTTTTATGAAAAAATCATTATATAAAGAAAAATGAAAAGTGGTATTCTTAATGAATCAAACTGTATACAATTAACTTATCATATGATACTCACAAATTTATATTATAAAATTTTTAAATAATATAATGCTTCCATTTGTTTAAAATATTTTTTATGGTTAAGATAAGCCTGAATTACATTATAGTTATATGATTATACATTATATGATTTTACCTAATTGCAATATGTTTTTTTTATGTTATTATTTTATAAAGAAAACTTATATGATTCATATTATAGAACAAAATTTTACTCATCCATATTTATTGTTTTTTTAATATTTTAAATTATATCATAACCGAAATTGCAAATAAAAATAGTTAAATTGTTTATTTCAATAACATTTTGTTTTTATAGGAAATGTTATTTAATAACATAATAACAAACTATGTACTTTTACCAAAATCATTATAAAAGCTTACAATATTTATAATTGTTAAATCAATTAGTTACTTTATAGGATATTATTACATAAAAAAATATCCAAGTAAGTACGAATTTGTTAAAAATAGTTGTATAATATATTTAAAAAATGTACTTATCTGATTTATTCTTAAAGATATTTTATATAATATGATAATATCTTAAAAAAGAATAGCTGTTATATTATATTTCAGAGTAATTGTTATCAAAGGTTATAAACGTAATTTAAATTCCTTTACTTCACATAAAATCTCCATATTTAACTTTATTTGAACTGAATAATATTTATGTAATAGTGAAATTTTAGAGACTGCCTCAGAGTAATTCACAAGATCATATAGTATTAATGAAGATAATGCGCCTAGCTGTCTTCAAGATAAATTTACTATTTCTCAGTACTCCTTGAAATTTATGGTTTCGATAATTTGCTTGTTCTTAGGATAATTTAAAAAAATAATATACGCCAAAAATTGAGAACGCGAAATTCGATTTGACAAAATGTGATTGTAAAATTATTGTACAAGGAAGCATTAAAAATCGAAAAATGTCCAGAAAATTACAACAGAGAAGATGGATGGAAAAATAGCAAGACTTGATTACCTTTCATACACCAGGCAAAGAAAATAACTTAATATACAAAAAAATAAATACATTCAACAAATCGGAAAATTGCCTGTGTAGAAAAGGAAGAGTATTTTTTTTTTTTAGAAAAAAAAAAGTTAAATTCCAAGAATGCCGTAAACAACAACAAAAACAAAAAACTGATAGTTTTTGTCATCAAAATCAATTACAAATAATGACATCGATGTTGTCAGTTATTAACCGATATAAAAATAAACTTTAAACTAGCCAATTCGACAGTATAGTTACAACCACGAACTTGTAACTATCGCTCTTTAGATGGACTCTGCAACGAGTCCGAAACGTCAGTACAAAATTTAAGACATGGATAGATCTGTAAATATTTCAAATAAACACATAGCTATCTTATCGATAAATTTTTAAATATTTATATACCAACGTAAGTACTTCCAAATTATGTTAATTAAATTAGAAATATTTTTATGTTCAATAAATATCAAATACAAAAAGATTGTATTTTAATATTGGTAGCATACATTTGTCCATTTTTTATCGACATCTGTCAGTATACAAGAGTCATCAAATTTCTAGCCTGAATAACGACATATTTCAAGTATAACATAGAAATTATAAATTATAACAGTATTAACATCTAATGATTATTCATTACTATTATTTTTATTCAAAATAAATAACATAGAGATTTTTAAAAATAAAAATATGATGAAATATGCTTCAATAGATACTAAGAAAAACATTCAATATCATTCTTATGGACTTATAATTAAATGAAACCCAACATGAAAATAGAAAATCACAGTAGACAATGTCTACTAGACATTTTATTAGAACAAAATACAGCTGGACTTAATACTTTCAAAAAACAAAAAAAATTCAACAGTACAAAGAAGTTCTTTCGGAAGTTAACTTGTTCTATACGTAACATGTCAAAACCATTAACTGAATCGTGAACCTAAAATAAAATTTTAATTTATACAATTTAAATTAGACTCATTTTTGAAATGTTTGACTTGATAAAGAGATGAATAATGTATATTTATTCTGAACTCGCTGTTCAAAAAATATAACCTTTATCCTTAAATTTTTGAATGAATGTGTTCCGAACATTTTTCAAAAAAAAAAATTTCAGTGTTAAACTTGCGTTTTATTGAAATAAACATATATGTTATCGTTCAACCCTCTAATTTTTTACCAAACTACCATATTGGAGTTGATTTTAAATAAATAAATAAAGTATTTGAAAAATGCTGCAATATTAAAATGTTGAGTAGAGTAATTAGATGATTAGCAAATAATAAAAAGCAATAATAAAAAAATGAATACCAATAAGTTATAATCATCTCAAATTATAATATAATGTAAAGGATATTGAAGTATTAGGACATCAATGGGGAATAAATGAATTTTATAAAGTTCAACCGAGGAAACAGGAGGTATATAAAAACTATACATAACATGATTTAAAAAGTTAAAAGTGAACTTGAGAAGTAACTGCTCGATACTAGAATTTAGAGAATAATGCAAATTCTTTACCAAAACCTATAAGGATATCACCACTGAAGTCAGACGGACTTATAAGGGAAGATTTATCGCATATATAAAAATTGCAATTATGTAAAACAAGTTTACTATTGTTAAAATTTTGAATAAATCAAGTTTCAATATAAAATATGTAATAAAAACAGTTTCTCAGTTCTCACTGGACCGATTTCTTTCAAGGATACGTCAAAAGATCAAAAATCGTATCCAGTTGAAGACAATACTCTTAAAAATTGAAAGAATGTCCCTCGTTCTCAATAAATAGGGAAAATCTCTTAAAAATTGCAATTTTAAAAATAATTTTGTAAAAAGTAATTTTTATGTTAAAATTTTCATTTTTCGATTTTATATTTTCAACTTAAAAATGCTATAACTTCTAGGAAAATGAATCCATACATTTTTTTTTCATAAACCCCTTAAGTTTACTTCTTTCATTTAACATACTTTTTTTTTTAAATTGGACCATTTTCCTTTATACAGGTGGCGTTCAAAACTTGACACATACCTATAAAAAGTAGAACTTTTTCAACTTAACTTTTGAAAATAAATAAATATACGAATTCCTGACTGTATATTAATCTTAACAATACTATTTTTTTATTCTCATAAAATTTTCTATTTAATAATGTAAATTTCAAACTTGAAGTTGAGCTCACAGTCATAGTAACCCTTTTTTATAAAAAATCAACTTCAAAATACCAAAAAAATAAGTTAAAAATGATATTTTACACTAATTATTTTTATAATATTAAAATTCAAAATCTGTAATAATTTTAAATCAATTTTTTATGTTTTTAATTATTTTTTTATCTTAATAAATGATTTCAAAAGAAATATTAATAATTTCTATGCAACTCTTGGTGTTTAAATAGATGATAGAATCGAAATATTCAGAACTATTTTCCTTATAGTATCCTATATTTTTTAACTAATTAGTAATAATATCAAAAATTATTGGTGATGGAAAACGTATCATTGCTGATTTGAAATTAGCACGAAGAATTGAATAATAAAAGTATCTTTTTTCCTCTGATGAAAATTTTTTGCAAACCGTTTATTCATAATTAACAACAAATTATTATCAAAAAAGTTCTGTGTCATGCCCTTCAATTTTTATACACGTTTGCCATTAAAGTAATAACTACTTTATAATTTTTTATAAATTCTCCGAAAAAATTACAATACTAAATTATTAAATATCAATTTCATACTACGTGAATCGCTTTAATAGATATTTACTTATAAATCAATTACTAATTAGGAATAATGATAGAAATAGGTGTTAATTTTGCTTTTAGAATAATCAATCAATTTCTTAAAATTAAAGACTACCTACAGATTTGCATCATAGCTTTTTTCTGATAAGGATTTTGTCAGATATCATTTATACTGGACCCAACTATACAACGTCCCCACTGTGCTGGGTTTTTTTTTTATCTTATAGTATGTTACATAAAGCCAACCCTCGCGAAGTCCTGCCCCCACTTCCACGTGGTGCAACCCGGGCAACGGGCCTTTTGGGATCCGGCTAACGGGGGAGGCAACACCACGTTGTGAATCTTGATTAATTTCGGGCTGATTCACAACGTGATGGTGTGAATTTTAGACGGCGTGGGCGGCCCTGAAGCAATACCTCGCGGTAGTTCCAGGGCGGACCACATTATGCCGGTGGTAGTAATAAAAAAAAAAAAAAAGTATGTTACATAAGCTTTAATTTAACGAATAATTAAAGCTATGTGAATTTTGGGAACATATTCAAATGTTAAATTGAATAAGTTAATATTTATTCAAAAGTTGCTATTTTGATACTCCTTGTAGTCAAGTAAAAGGTCAGGTTTTCAAAATATTTATATCGTATGAAAAGAAAATATATAATATTTTTTATAAAAAAAAATTATTTTGATTCATTTATTTTTCAAAAACTTATTGCTCTTTTCAGAAAAAAAGTTTTAAAATTGAAATTTATTGATTTTAAAAATAATAAAAAAATATATCTTACCACATAAATTTAAAAATTGGTAATTACCTTTATTATTTATTTAAATAACTTATATTTTTTGATTGTAATGTGCATAATTTTTTTCCCCATATTTGACGCACTAATTATATTTAAATATACTTTTATACGTTTTATTTTTAATCTAACAGACTTCAGTAGGTCTTGCGTTCAATGGTTTTTGTCATTATTATAAATTACAATAAAAGATAACATCTCTAACATTGAATATAAAATGGAATTGAGTATCCGACTAATAGGTAGTTCATTTACTGATATCTATTAATATACCTTATTAAATTGTGAAAGTAATATAATTGTAATATCCAGTTGTAATCCCGATAGATTTATTTTAACGTGCATAAACATGCACGTTATCATATGCATAAAAATATTTTTTTAAACCAAAAAATTTTAGATGGAGTAAAATATTAATAATAGTTGCCACTAGCTTTGGTCACACATTATTTTTACTAAACATAGTTTAAATAAGTAAGAGACACATTGTCAAATGATTTACTTATCATTCTTAATCATTTATAAAAAAACGTAAGAGGAAAATTCAGTCGCACAAAATCATTGTCAATTTCCATTATACAAACTTATATTATAATAGTCACAATAATTGATAACCGGCTGTGCATCGAAAGTGTACCAGAAATAATAAATACAAGAAGCACCGTACAGAATTAGAACCCGTGACCAAGATAACTTACAGACAAACCTTTTCACTAGGTTACTATTAACTTATGATTCAGATCCCGATACACTTTCATATAGATTCATAACGTGATGTGTGACCGAGAAAAGGTAGTGTCGTATTATAAAATGCGATTTGATATCAAAATGTATTTAACGTAATCGTTCATTTTTCTAGTCAAACATTTAAAGAGAAAAACCTGATTATAATATTATTGGTAAAATAATAAATATTATTAATAATAATATTTGTATGATGGTCATTTGTTGCGTTGATTGAAATATAATGTATTTATATAATTTGAAAGGACACAGAAAAAACAATGTCATTATTTTCAAAGTTAAGACTGACGATAAATAATTTTCAATAAAAATAAAGTTTTAAAATTATTTTTTATTTTTTCGTAATTCTTAGAAAATTTAAATGTTTTAAAAATTTAATCATTTTTTCAAATTATTTATATCATTTTTAATTAAAAATATAACATTAATATTTACTTCTGAAATATATAATATAGAGACATTTATGAATTAAAATATAAAGAAGTGTTTGAATAGATATTATAAAAAAAAACATTTAATATTACTCCCATGGTCTTATTAAATCAAATACAATATAAAAACATCCTACCATAGCAATTTTGTCATCAGTATAAAAGACTTTTAGTTTGTACTTGCCATAAAAAAATTCTTTTGGAAAATTTGCTTGTTCTACAAGTGACAAGTCAAAACCATTAATTGGATAGTGACCCTAAACGAAAATTTAAAATTTTACTTTTTAGTCAAATATTTGACTTGAAATATAAATGTACATTAATTTTTTTATTTAGATCTTACTTGTAAAAAAGGACAATCTTTATTCTTAAAATTTTTAACAAATGTGTTCCAAACATTTCCCAAAAAATATTTCAGTGTTGAACATGCATTTTTATTGCGATAAACATATGCATTATCTTTCCAACCTCCTATTTTTGACCAAACTGCCATATTCATGTTAAACTTAAATAAATAGAAATAAAAAAAATATTTTTTATAATAACAGTATTTGAAAAATACGACATATATAGCACATTGTGCTTTGTCTTTTTAATAGATAAGAATCCTAAATATAAATTTTGATACACTAAATGATTATTTTAAACGTTCATTACATTATTGAAACTTTAAAAATTGCGTTCTTGAACAGTATCAATTAGAATTTTTACTGTAAATGAAATTTAATGCAACTTTTGTCAGTATGAAACAGTACACTGGTTAAGTTATATTACTTTAATACTCACTATTAAAATGTCATCAAATGAAATACTCATTGTAATATTTCCAATTAATAAAGTTTTTGTAGGAGACGTTTTTGATAATTTTAAGTTAAAATTAATTGGATAATCTATAGATTCATTACAGATTGAAGCAGCATTGAATTTTAATTTATATTTTCCCTGAAACATTGTTTAATAGAGTGATTTAGTATATTATAGATTATTATTATCAAATATTAAGACACTAATGTTTTAAAAAGCTCTTAAAAGTTTAAAATTTTCGTAAAGCAAAAAACTATTTCATTTGAAAAATCAAAAATAAAATGTAATTAAATAATTTTTATTTCATACTTCTAGGGATCAAAACAACTTTAGGATTGTAAAACTCATCATTAATTATTTTTAATGAGAACACTTTTTTTTAGTTTGATGATATAACAGCAATAAAATTTCAAAAATTTTAGTAAGATAATTAAAATTATTTTTTTTATCCAATTAAATGTTAAAATTTAAAATTTATTTCACAATGTAGATTTAAAATACAAATTTATTAAAAATGTTTGTTTTCATAATAGCGTGGATAACATTAATTTGTTTCATAAATTATATCAATAACTTATATTAAAATCTTGTTTTTGTGAAAGCATAGATAAATAACGAATTTTGTATGATGAACAGCAAATTATCAATAGAAAACTATTCAAAATTTGTTAGACTTCTACAAACTAATAGAAAAATAATAGTTAATTGAATAAAAATATTATAAGACAAAAAATTGTCAATATTGTTGCTAAAACATCATCAAACTAAAAAAACCCAGCACAGTGGAGTCGCGGCACAGTGAAGACGTAGCTTAATTGAGGGTCCAGTATAAATGATCTCTGACAGTTTTTAAAATCACTACCATAAAATACGCTTCGATGCAAATCTATAGATAGTGTTTAACTTTAAAACATTGGTGGATTTTTCCAAAAGTAACATGATTTCCGATTTCCTAATAGGAAATTTATATCTTAATTTATATCCTGATTACTAGTATTATGATTTGTAAGTGTAATATATGAATAAATATTTATTATAGCAATTAAATATTGTAATTTTTTACAAAAATTGTATTTTTTTATTAACTTTGATGTCCGATTTTACCATGACATCAAAATAAAGTCCGAATTTTTTTTATATTTAAGTATATTACATAAGCTTTAATTTAAGATAGATACAACAGTGACAGTATTTCCGGAACACTTTCAAAAATTAAGTCGAAAAAGTTCTACTTTCTATATGCATTTTTAAGTTTTGAACCCCCCTAGTATTAAGGGAAATGGTCCAATTTAAAATAAAAGTATTTTGAATAAATGAAGTATATAAATATTATTTCTTATAAAAAATATTATTGTTTCGTACATTTTTCAAAAAGTTACAGCATTTTAAAATTAATAATTTAAAATATAAAATCGAGAATTTTAACACAAAAATAGTATACACGTTTTCACCGTGAAGACAAAATAAAGTCCAAAATTTTTTTTCCAGAATAAAGTATATTACATAAACATTAATTTAAGATACATAAAAAAGTGACAGACTTTCCGGAACAATTTCAAATGTTAAGTTGAAAAAGTTCTACTTTCTGTATGCATTTTTCAGATTTGAACCCCCCCCCCCGCCCCCCCCC